TCAAATGATATTTTACACTAATGGATCTCTCAGAGGTAAAAATATATTTACACAGAACGAACTAGCTAGAATGAGAGCTAGCTAGATACAAGTTAATGAGACTGAAAACCAAAAGATAAATGAGGGCTTTTTCGGAGCAAAAAATTGGCCTTCAACAATAAAAGCAGAACTACTTGGAATTTGGTATGTGCTTCTTTTAGTACCAAGGAAAAGAAAAATAAAAATTTATATGGACAGTACGGTGGCAATAGAAAGTATAGAAAGAAGAAGAAAAAAAAAAGCAATATGTCAAATTTTTAAAGAGGATAATTATAGCTTGGTAAATTGTATAGTTGACATAATTAGGATTAAAGAAATTCAGCTAGAATTAGTAAAGTTTAAAGGTTATAGTAATAATAGATAGAATGATTTGGCAAATAGTTTAGCAAAATTTAGATTCTAAAATAGACAATAAGGAGGACATAGTAGAAAAATCTTACTAAGAGTCAAACGTTTCTCTGTGTTGGGAAGGTAAAATAGTTAAAGAACCTCTAAGACAATTTATCCAAACAGTTCTTTGTTTCTAAATGAGCTTAGACTAGAGAATATTATCTGCAATACAAAAAGAAGAACTGAATGATATATCTAAAACAAATTATTGGCCGATTCTGTGAAGAAAAATCAGAAATCAAAATGAAAGCAAATGTACTAGCTTGAAGAAGAACCAATAGCTAGGGTATTGATCAAGTTTCTACATGAAAGATTACTAGTGTTTAAAATCTTAGCTACTAGAAGACCAGATCTATATGAAACCCCTTTTGTGTAATTTGCAGAAAAAATGAAAAAGAAGATCAAGCTCATTTAACGAAATATGAGAAGTATAAAAAAAGATGAACTGAATTAGAACAAACTATATCAAATATAGCTTGGGCGGTCCAATCTACAGAAGCAAGAAGTCAGCTTAGTAAAGTTTAACTTAAGAACACTTTATGGAGCCCAACAAGAGAAGAAAGAATCAGAACAAGAGTTGGTATTCTCAAGGGTTTAATTCAGAAAGAAGTCTTTAGAAAACCAATCGATATTATAAAACTACTAAAAGAAGCAAGAAATTATTTGGAAACAGTAATGAATTTAGCATGAAATTTTTTTTATAAGAATATTTGGAAGTGAAGATGCTTAGCTGTCAACGAATGGAAAAAAGAAAAAGATATAGACAATAAAAAGAAGAGAAGATAGAATCTGAAAGAAGAGAGCTCAGGTTTTAATACAGAGCAGCCATGTAAGACTACTAGAGAGTTTTTAGATGATCAAGACCAAACCAAAGAAAAGGTAAAGAAAAAAGAAGAAAAAGAAAAAGAGGAGAAAAAAAAACAAAAAAAAGTAATTTGGTTTGCGTCGATTAAAGATTATATTGTAAATAAAGCAAAACTATTTTGGTATAGTTTTGCAGACTAGCTTGGTGCAGCCCCTGGTGTGGGCATAAGCCTTATCCAGTAAGGCAAACTGTTCTTAGGCACCCCTAGAGAAGCCGAGAGATATTGGATCTGTAGTTTAGATAGTTAATATATGTATATATATACTTTGATCTAATAAAGATACCGGCAAGGCTGCCAATAAGTTAAAAAAAAAAATCTTTGCTAACAATCTTATCTTTCAGAACTATAAATTATATAGTTCTGAAGAGTGAATTTGATAACAAAGATTTTTTTTTTAAAATAGATTGATTATTAATAATTAATATTGATTAATTTTACAAATCTTCATTTTGGACTAGGTTGAAAAGTTTGTTAAAATTTTTTAAAATATAATTCAAGTGGTCTTTAGATTTTAAAGCTTCACTTTTGATATCATCATATAGTACCTGCAATTAGAAAATATAGGACAATAAATAGTATAACTACTAAAACTTATATATAAAACACTTCATAAAGACTATAAAAAGATTTTATCAAATATTAAACAAAAAAGACTATATGAAACAAATATACATTTTAAATATAATAAATCAGTATTGATATTGAACATATGCCTAATACTAATAATGCTACTTAAGTATTGCTAATAATTGATTATATTGACAAGCAAAATAGTTAATTAAGTTTGAAGTTATTAAATGATCATTATATGAGATACCACATTTTTTTTTATTATTTAATATAACTTTATAGATTGTAGTCACACTGTTTTTATTCTTGTCAAAGTAGTTCCAGACAAAACTTTTAGAATAACTTTTACTTTATATAATTCTTTGTATTCACTATATTTACTATTACTTTCATTTTGCACCATATTTGAATAGATAAATTGCAAGAATAATTATTAAAATTTGCAATTGCAATTATATATACTAACAAAATTATTTTAGGTTTCAAAGTACAAAATTAAAATTTGAAGACGAAATTGTTTTTGACCTATTTTACTTAAAAGATAAATTTTTTTGACACTTTTTTTGAAGAAACAAAATTATAAAGAATATAACTATCTAAATTAGATTTGCTCTTGCATATAAAAAATTCCAAATTGCTTTAATAAAAACGAAATAAGATTTTTTGAAAACCTATTTCGGTAGTATGTATAATTGCAATACTTTATTAAAATCTTGTATGTAAAATTACATATAATATTATTTTTTTTTTTAATTTTTAATATATTATATTATTAAACTTCATAAAATTATATACATATTATGTAGTTATTAAAATTTTATTCATACAAACTATTAATCATTAAATTATGTAATTAATTAACTTGCGAGTAATTCACGAGTTAACTTTTATGATTCAAAGAGTGATAAATTTGAATCACTTAGATCATGAGTTGATGAGTTCAATCTCTATATACATTCTATAGTCTCATTTTACAACATACTCTAATATCTATACAATATAATTTATTCTATTTATAATTTAACAATAGCCTATTAGCCTAAATAATATATTATATACTATATAGTAAAGTATACATTTTTTAAATACATATATACATATGTACAGTATATATCTAACAGATATATGATTTGTCATACAGATCATGTATGCAAAATTTTTACTATGAGATTAAATGATCGATACACCTAAATTTTATAAGTAAATTTTGGGTAAAATTTGCTTTTAAAGTATATTTAACAATAAAGAAGTTGTTGGTTTAGTTTCTAGATATCATTTTATAAATTCTTTAGTATTTGAAGGTTCTTCTTATAAAATTTTAATAGTGGTTAAAAATAAAATAGAGAAAGATCATGATCATGAAGTTGACCAATTTTTTGACGATTTTTATTATTTTTTTTATAAGTGATGTATGTTGTTTACCCAAAAATATCTAAAAAAAGTAATGATAAATAGTCAACTAAATTTATGTAATTGACTGTTCATCATTACTTTTTTAGGTATTTTTGAGTAAACAATATATATCATTTATAAAAAAATAGTAAAAATCATCAAAAAATTAGGCAACTTTGTGATTATAATCTTTTTTTTATTTTATTTTTAACCACTATTAAAATTTCATAAGAAGAATTTTTAAATGCTAAAAAATTTATGAAATGATATCCAGAAACTAAACTGACAACTTCTTTATTGTTAAATATGCCTTAAAAGCAAAATTTGCCCAAAATTTACTTATAAAATTTAGGTGCATCAATTATTTGATCCTATAATAAAAATTTTATATATGACAAATTATGTGACTGCTAATATATTATCATATAATCTATATACTTCTTTTAGCACACATCCAGTGTTCAAAATCTCAGACTCAATGACTATTCTCATGAGAACAAAAAAATAGCTATAAGTGTTCTCAAACTATAGTTAAAAAAAAAAAAAAAATTAACTTAATAATATGATTTCAACAGTTATCTCTCTATATAGTCACTTTCTATATAATCATACTATATAAAAAATTTATCATATACCCAACCTATATTAGACTATACAAAGTTTATTTTTTGGTTCTCATAATCTAGTCAGGTCAATATAGCTAGGTTAGAAAATTAAAATTTATTGAGGCACAGTATAGAATCAGCCAATCAAAATTAGCTATAAATCTTACAATAATTAGTTGTAAAAAAATACTATACTAACAAATTTATTGTAAATAATTAGATATGTATGATATATACAATAGAGTTTTTTCTTGAAATTTTATTTTTTTAGCAATTGGACAATGTGTACCAGGTTGGTAGCATAGACAAACTTCTTAAAATTCATTAAGATTAGGATTTGGATCAGGATTAAGAGCTAAAGAGAAGTAATTTTACTAGTAAAATTATCTAACGAAACCTTTTTATTAGAGTACAAAAGGTGTTTTTTATACTGAATTTTAAATTATAAGTGATCTTTGGCAGAATGAACGAATCTTCTTGATTGTTTTATATTATATCTAATCTTTAAAAGCTGATTCATAGATCAGAAGTCTATATCACCAATCTGGTATATATTTTTCTTTAAAAAATAAATTATGTCTCATAGTCACATAGCTATAATTTAAATTTAGAAATGATCAAATTTCAAAAGTAGTTTAAATTTTATTTGGATATTTACTCAAGTTCTATCTATATATGTATTACTCTACTTGTCATAAAAATGACTATTGAATATTTCCTTTTCTTGTTTGTATATCTTTGCATAATGTTATATATCACAAAATTGTCACAAAAACTAACCATATATGACAAAAAGTCGATTATACTATATACACATATAGAAAAATAAGTTGGATATAACATATAAGAAAAATGGATCAGTTAAAATTGAATATTGCTAATGCTAAATACAAATTTAAGTATAGAATTTTTTAGATTCTTGATCACTAATTGGTTTCTAACCATAATACTTTTTCAAGGTACTTGATCTAGCATATTTATTACAAGCTAGTTGTATAGTTTTTGATGCTATTTGTTCTTTAGAATTATTAGAAATGTTAAAACTACTACACAGATAACAGACAAGAGGATAAATTTTTGCTAAATAATATGGTTTTTCTATTGGAGAGGCACAGATCAAAGAATCATTTACAAAAACTTAAGTAAATAGCTCTTGAATAGAATCACATTCATTTTCTGAACTATTATTTAAAGAATCTTCATATTCGGTATCACTATAATCGATATCCTCATCTTGGCTGATTTGTTTTTCATTTTTATTAAATTCAATATCATTTTCATTTTCACAGTTATTACTATCTTTGTTACTGCTTTCATCATCATCTTCATTGTATCAAAGGATTCTAAGAGCTTTGCTGATATTAATTCACTAATATTCTTAAATATTGTTCCACATGAGTATAAGATTGTCTCTAGGAATTGCTGATGAATACTGTGATCCTTGTTTGATAATTTCTTTAAACTAAACAAGAGTTGTGGTTTGTTATATTCCATACAGGATATAGTAATCCTAATATTCTTTGCATGAAATGTAGAAGAGCAAAATGGCATTGTATGTTTTTATATTTTTGTTTTATATTGGATTTAGATTTTGCTTTGTAGCAAGAAGATCTGTATTTCTCAGTGGTTTCACTTCTATATAATTCTTCAAAAGACTTGTAATGCAGGTTATTTTCCAAAATTGGATCTGAAAGTAGATAGAGTTGGTCAAATATTTCACATGAACATCAAGAAGGGTTACAGATAGTACAGTTATCTTTTTTATATTTTTTGATTGTAAAAAAATAGTGACATACTATACAACAATAATCATAAAACTTTTTTAAGAAGAGCTTTTAAAACAAACTTATTAGTTTATATTTTATATTATATGCTTATTTTCTCGAAAACTATTTTCTGATAGGTAATTTATTGACATTATAGCGTATAACAATTTAACATTTTATTAGCTATAAATATATTGATATTGTGGATAAATTGTTATCTATGTGGTATCAAATAAATGGCTTATTAGAAAAATAGTTTTCAGAAAAGTGAACCGCAATTATATTAACATTGTTTTGTATTTCTTATTATATTTTGCTTGATTTTCTCTACTGTACTAACATCATGAGTTATAGTATCATCAATCTCATGAATCATTTTCCAAAAATTTTCTATTTTATCATCTGTCATAGCACTAAATATTCCAAATAGTTCATTTTTCAAAAACTGCTTTTTAAATACTTCATGAATAAGATTGATAGGTACTTAGATATTTTTTAAAAGATTGTCTTTAAAGATAGGATTTGATTCAGCAATATTTTAAATTTTTTTTATTAAATTTACTTTACTAAAAAGCTTTTCATATTTGTTATCCATCTTGGAACATATTAATCTGATACTTTGCAATCCAAGATTAAATGTCGATATTATACATTCAACAGTATTTTTCTATGAATAAGAAGGGGTGTCCCTACTGCCACAAAATAATCAAGATCTAACTTCAAAAACAAACAAATATATGATAATTAAACTTTTACAAATATGTATCAGTGATCGAAACTGCTATTCATATAAAGACAAAATATTGGTTTAATTGACTCTTGTGTTAAAAGAATATTGTATAATTCTGTCATATATTTTAAAGAAAAAGAGAGTTGAAATATTGGATCTTTTAATTCTATTTTTATCATTTCTGTATAGAAATTACCATTGATTGTTTTTGGAATATCATATAGCATTGCAACATTTGGAATTACCCCAGTTTTAGTATAATCATGAACACTTACTGTGAATGTTACATTCTTTTTAACTATTACTTGCTTACCTCTTTCTACTACCACCACAGAATATCTGAGTTCTCCAATTTTGTACTGATATTTATCATCAAGAAACACAAGTATTGTAATATCACAAAACTTAACAAAAAATTCTTTTTTATATCTAAATAGCGCTAAAGCATAATAGGTGTCTGGGTAATCTGCATATAATTGTCGGGATTGTATTATAAACTTTAGGGGTAAGCAATTTGTATATTGTAAGCTGTTTTTGAATATAGGGTTTTTAAACCAAAACTATAACCTTAACTATTGTTCATTAGAAATTAGTGTGTTATAAGAGCATTCACGTTTAATTTGTTAATATAAGT